GTAGAATGAAGATGGCGGTGATGAGGTTGATGGCAACGGTGATGGTGATGACGATTGTGCGACAACGATGTGCACGACGGCAACGTCGACGGCGAAGACGATGGCAATTGAGAAGGACAGGTGGAGGCACGTGAACATGATGAACTATCAATATTACCAATGGGGATGGTGAGCAGGGTACAGGGTGCTCCAGTGTCGTGGAGGTTGAGTCGGACAGCCACGAGTCTAGCAGCTCTCATCAGGAATCCTCAGAGCACGAGGGCACCACTTGCCAGGGGGCGCGCCGCTTGTAGAATCACGCCGCGGTTGTCATATGGTTTCGCTCGGCCCGAGTCAATGGTCGCACTCTGGGCTAGGTTGGATCTGTCTGTCTATGTGTACACGCATCTACATGTGTATGTGTTTGCATATACGCATGAGGATCTATGCGTGCACATATAGATCGATGTATATACACGCTGTAATCGACCTGAGTAGGTGTACCATTCGCCCGTATATCCGTATTTGATATGTACATGTGTGTACATAGTTAAGCACGCGTACGCATAAACGACAACAGGTGTTATTGTAAAAGTATATGCGTCCGGTTATGTGTATATTTGCGCGTGCATGTGTGTAGGTGTGTCTATGCTATATTTGTGTATATGGATGCATGGTGTATATACGTTACGTATGTGTATACGCAAGAACAGATATCTACTGAGTTGCGTTCCACATCTTTCTGCTGCGAGGTCTCTCAACTGGTGCCGTGTCCAGCCCCGCGCGAGCCCCCTGCCCAGCCCCGTGAGAGCCGCTTTTCAGTTCACTCTGCCTGGTGGTCACCGCCGCCCCCTCGCAGCCCGAGGGCGGCATGCAGGCGGCCCAGAGTTCGACGACAGCGGGCCCCGGCGTCGGCAAGGAGTGGGCCCTTCTAGGCAACAGGATGGGCGAGGCTGCGACGATCCCGGCGAGTCTCAACCAGTGGAAGGCCCATCATGGGGGGGCGGAGATAGGGCGGGATCAAAGGGGCCAGGGAAAGACAGCGCGCGAGAAAAGATTTGGAGAGAGAACAGGAGAGGGCGGCGCCGGGGTAAGAGACAAGCCGGTGGAGGAGGAGGGGGATCGAGGAGGGGCCGCACTCGGGCCCCGCCGAGGGGGGGGGCGCGGGGGGGGGGCCGGAGAGATGCGACGCGCAGGTCGCCGACAACCCGCGGCTAAAACTCTGGGAGATCGAAGTGAAGGAGGCCATCAAGGCTGCTGGCGCGGCGCGGACCCGCGCCCCCGACGCGGTGAAAGACGGGCTCGCGTGTTCAGGGCACCAGGGGGAAGCAGGGCATGAAACTGGAAGGGCGGAGACCAGGATGAGAAGGACAGAGTCGAGAAGGACCAGCAAGCGACGAGGGGGGCGAAGGAGGGGGGCGCGGCAGCGCGCGAGGGGGATTGGCAACAGGAGCAGCTGCAGCGCAGAGATCGCCGACCATGCTTGAGTAAATGTCTCTCCGGTGTGGTCGGCGCGCGCGCTTCTCGGAGTTGCCGCTCGTGGCTTGCCCCGCCCACCCCGGCGCCTACCAGCGTCATTTCCCCAGCGCGCCGCCCCGCCCGCCCCCCCCGGCTTCGACGGCGACGAGTTCGAAGGCGCGCGCGAGTCGATCGCCGAGGCGCGGCTGGGGCGAGGGGCGCGCGGGGGGATTGGGGTTGGAACAGGGTGGGGGGGCTGATGGGGATGGCGCGTTGTGCCACTTGGCCCCGATGGGGATGCTGCTGAGGATGTGCAGCTTGGTCCCGCTGCGCGCCCCTGCTCAGTTCCATGGCTCGCCGTCTTCGCGAGTGGAGGCCGCCGCGCTACATGGCGCGTTGCTCCCTGTGGAGGCGCCCGTGGACAAGGCGGCCGCGATGAAGAAGGGCGGCCCATGGGCTGCGCTGCGCTGGCATATATGGGCGCAGAGGCTGGCGATGGCGAGCTGATGTAGATTGTGGGGCGTGGGCGGCAGCGATGGTGTTTCTCATGTGAAAGGTGATGGCAAGGAGGAACGCGGTGTGGATACGACGCCACTGGTCATGACGACGCCGAGGATGCCGATGCTGATGAGGAGGGCAATGCGAAGCTGATTATGATGCCGAGGGTGGTGATGGCGATGCTGATGGCGATTGCGATGCTGGCGACGATGATGTTGATGGTGATGGCGGGGAGTCCCAGAGCGGCAAGATAATGCGGATGGGGTGGGTGGGGTGGGTGGTGGGTGGTGGGGGGGGGGGGGGGGGGGGGGCGGGGCGTGTGTGTGTGTGGTGTGTGTGTGTGTGTGGGTGGGGTGCGTTGCGTGCGTGCGTGCGTGCGTGCGTGCGTGCGTGCGTGCGTGCGTGCGTGCGTGCGCGGCTCGTGCGTGCGCGGGGGGGGGGGGGGGGGGGGGGGGGGGCGCGCGTCGCGCTGGCGTTTTTGCACGCGTGCGCAGGGCCCTCGGGGAAGGAGCGGCAGCTGGAGTTCACGCGGCAAGCGCGGTGACGTGGCGCTTCCACTCCTGACGGCGCTTGGGCGAGGCCTAGATCACGCGAGACCTTGCTCGTGCGAGGGCTGGGCCTTTGAGCGGCAGCGTGCCAATATTTCCAGCAGCAACACAATGCACGCGAGTTGTCCAGCGGTATGCAAATCCAAGCAGCAGGCCAGCCATATCATCACCAAAACCAGCAGCAATCGCACACATCAATGGGCCAACATCAGCAGCAGCAGCAGCAGCAGCAACAGCAGCACCAGCCACATGAGCAGCACAGCGTGATCAGCACACCATGAGCAGCACATGCACCATCCTCAACAGCCACCAACTTCATGATCAGCGTTTACAACATCACCAACGCTCGAAATATTGCAGCATGTGCAAACACATGGCTACGATCGATGTAACAACATGTTAGCCATCTGCGCAAAGCTGGAGCGGTATCCAGTGGATGACGCTCCGCATGCGGGCGCTGCCGCTGGGGCCTTCGGTGGAGCTCCCTATGGGGCCGCGAAGCATGTGAGCGGTTTGCCAAGATGAGGGTGGAACCGCGTGCGGGCGTTGTCCTTGGAGCCTTCGGCGGAGCCCCTTGTCCGTAACATGTGTTTTGGGTGCACCGAAATGAGGGTGGAACCGCGTGCGGGCGCTGCCGCTGGGGCCTTCGGTGGAGCTCCCTATGGGGCCACGAAGCGTGTGAACGGTGTGCCTTGATCGGGGTGGAACCGCATGCGAATTTTGCCACCAGGACCTTCGGTGGAGCTTCCTACAGGGCCACGAACCGCGCGAAATGTGCCTGGTCTACACAGCGCCAGACCACAGCTTGCGAAAAAAACACCAGCAAAGCGAGGATTGCGGACATCAGCCCTGCGTCCAGCAACACAGTTGCTTAACATGCGACCCCATATCTTGTCATTCCCCACCGTGATGTCTCTATGGCGTGCAAGTCTGCTTCGTAGACGGCCACCGTTCCAACCCTGTCGAACCAAGTCGCGTACAGACGTAGGAGGTAGATATCGAAGATCGATCGCGTAGTTCTCATCATTGCATTTCAACGTGTCAGGCACTACGCGCCATCCTCCACCCAATACGCTCTAACGTCATCTAGAATACCTCCAAGGGTCTTCGCATATTTGACCATGGTCTACGACCTTTCAGCCAAACATGCCCAGGCCCTGTGAAGCTGACCTAGCAAAGCCCGTCGGACCCGGACGATGTTAGCATGCGCCTTGACAGGCTCCATGGTAGCACGGTACATAGGATCGCACAGCCCACAACGTCGCGTGGCAAAACATAGCGTTGAAGACGGCGAGCTGGACGCGCGTCCGCACAACATGCCAGCAACGCGTCACATCTGTGTGAACTCAGCTGAATTTGCCCCCGACGGTACCACTCCATGGCTTGCAACAGGGAACAGGCCAGTCCGCCACAAAACCGTGACTTGATCAGCTGCAGTTTCCTGTAGCATGTGGAGCCGAGGCAAACGACAGTGCCGAGTCGAACCAGGACTTGTTTGCGAACAGGTCGAACCGAACGCATATCATGTCCGTGGTTTCGAATCCATTTCTCAGCTGTGAGCTTTAGCTGCCTCGCCTTGCTACGTCGGTGGCCAGCCAACCCGACTTCGCAGGCTTGATCAGTAGGCCAAGTTCTATGGGGGTGGGGCCGCATGCAAATTTTGCCGCTGGAGCCTCCGGTGGAGTTCCCTATGGGGCCGCGAACCGTGTGAGCGGTGTACCGAAATTTGGGTGGAATTGCGTGCGAATTTTGCCACCGGGGCCTTCGGTGGAGGTCGATGGGGCCACGAAGCGTGTTAAGGGTGAGGGGTGTGCCGAAACAGATACATGCGGAGGGCAGAGGCAAGGGAGGGAGGAGGGAGGGGCGGGAGGAGGAGAGGAGAGGGGAGGAGATGAGAGGAACGCGGGGTGCTGTCTCTTCAAAACGAAAACCCATCACCACATGATGGTTGGGAAATAGCACTCCCAGAGGGACGAGGGGCATTCTGAGACGCCCACTCTGTGCACAAGGCACTTTGGCGTATATGGTCTATATCTATCTATCTAGAGAAAGAGAGAGAGAGAGAGAGAGAGAGAGAAAGAGAGAGAGAGACAGAAAGAGAGAGAGAGAGAGAGAGACAGACAGAGAGGGAGAGAGAGAGAGAGAAAGAGAGGGAGAGAGATAGAGAGAGAGGGATAGATACATACAGTGAACACGATACGATTTCAATCACCAATGGGGCCGTGGACGGGGGGCCACACAAAGGTCGAATCAGTGGGAGCAGTCGCGCACAAGCGCCGCACCCTCGTAGACCCCTGGGCTTTCCCACTTCCGCTCTTCTAGTGCCTCTTCGTCGTCGTAGTCCTTCTTGCTTCTCCTCCTTTCCATTGTCCTATGACTCGTCCTCTAGCTTCTCCTCTTCCTCCCACTCTCCTCCTCCTCTTTCTCGTGTTCCCTTTTCGTCTTCATTCCTCCCTCTCCGTCTTCCTCGCCCTCACCTCCTCGTCCCCCGATTTCCTCTTGGCCCCCCCCCGGCAGGGATATCTGAGCGCCGCATTGTGGAACGTGGAAGAGATGGCGAGCCTCGTGCCATTCGCCGAGCGGGCACGCGTCCATCGATTCCCCCCGTGCGCGCGTTCGCACCGCATCGGGATCGGGGATCAGAAGGCGGGGATGAAAGAGGGGAAGGTTGGGAATCCTCTTCGGGTTCCAGTCGGCCGCAATGGGAGCCCGTGGGGTCGTCTCCTGGCCATTTGGGGCCCCCTTGGGGCCATCTTGAGCGCATCTGGGTCGTCTTGAGGGAGCTCTTCGAAGCCTCCAGAGGCCTTTGGGGGCCCTCTGGAGGCGTTTCGATTTCTCCAGGGGGCGGTCCAGAGACAGCCGCCCCAGCAGCATTTACAAGTAATGGAAAAAGGACACTCGTTGGATAAGTGCAACTGTGTAATCATGACTACTTCGATGTATGAGCAGTAATAGATACAAGACAAGCATATCGCATGCATGTATGTCTATCTGCCTGTCAGTATGTCTGTATGTATGTACATGCACCTCTATCTATAGACTTGCATGCGTGTCCATATACATTCACATATATATATATATATATGTTCACACACACACATATATATTTGTGTGTATATATACATGTATATAGTGGACATGCGTACCGACCTACTCAGACGACCTATGTATATCTACATGTATGTATACATACATATATATAGATATAGGTATGCATGCATGCATATTCCTCTTCCTATATTTTTATAAGCCCGGGCGGGGGGAACCCCCCCAAAAAAAAAACTGGACTCCCGGGATCTGGGGCTTTGGGGCCCTTCGGACGGGCCTCGAAGCGGCCCCCCGGGCCTCGCAGGGCGTTTTGCCAAGCCTTCGCAGCACTCCTAGGGCGATCAGGGTGGTCATCGGAGACGTCCTGGAGAACCCGAGGACAGCCCAAGAGCGCTCCAAGAAGCCGTCATACCCCGAAAGATAGCTCCAAAACATACCAAGAGGCCTCCAAGAGCACCCCCAAGAAGGCCCCAAGAGGGACAAATAATTGATTTAATGTAGATTGTTGGTGAATTTGGGGTTCTCATCTTTTCGGGCTCCCGACGCTCCAAGACAGCTGTCTTCTGGGCGTCCGAAGTCGCCTGGAAGGCTCCCAAACCGCCCACAGCCATCCGAAAGGGCTTCAAGGCAGTCCAAGAGAGCCCCAAAACGCACCAGGGGTCCAAAATGGCCCTAAGAGAGCCCCATGGCGGCCCAAGGTGGCCCCAAGACACCCTCCGAAGCATTCCAAATCGTGACCGGGGCGTTCAGGGAGACCGCGGTTAAATGCATGTTGCCCTTAGGAAGCCCCAGAGGCCCCCAGAACACGCCCAGGAGGCCTCCAGAAGGCTTAGGAAAGCTTGAGAACTTTGGTGAGGCCCCCAAAGGCTCTCCAAGGAGGACCCTCCGCAAAAAGAGCTGAGGAGGATGGGGAGAATGCCCAGGGTATGGCGAGAATGAGGAAAAATAAGCATGGAGCCAGGATAACGAACAACATTATGATAATGGCGATGCCAGAAAAGGCAGCAAGGAATTATCGTTAAAGTGTCCGCTTGACCTTCTGCCTTTTCCACCTGCGTAGCAATCTTCAAGGACCAAGGTGCATGGCGCGAAGCGCCACTGCAGTCTTGTGTATATATATGTATATACACATTCGATTGCCACCATGTGCCGATTAATCGTGGATGTATGAGAATATGTAAACATACATATGCATCTGCATTGAGAAATCAAACACGTGTACCTGGGAACTTCACGTTTGTTTCCGTTCAGTCTTGGAGGTTCCCGGGTCGCCCGGCCAGTGCCAGGGGGCCTGTGGCGGTAAGAACGAATGCCGCCTGATGGGCCCGCGCGTCGAGACGTTGGCAACATGTTGAGGTGGTTCGGTTCGTTCCGCATGAGACATCCTCACAAGTCAGCGTTCCGAGACGATCAGATTTGACATGATCTGGCCCGTTTCGTTTGAGACATTCTCGTGAACTTGGGCTCCCAGATGCTACGCGAGAGGTGGTCTGGCTCAGATCGCCTGAAACATCCTCAGAACTTTTGGGCTCGGTAGGGAGGAGGGAGGAGGGAGGAGGGAAGAGGTGGATGGATGGATGGATGGATGGATGGATGAATGGAAAGGAGGAGCAGGGAAAGGACGAGGAAGAGGAGGAGATGGAAATGGAGATGGAGGAGGAGGAGGGATGGAGGCATGGACGGAGGAAGGGAGAGAGAGAGAAAGAGAGAGAGGGAGGGAGGGAGGAGGAGGAGGAGGATGAGGAGGAGGAGGAGAGAGGAGGAGGAATGGACGGATGGATGGATGCATGGATGGACGGACGGATGAGGAGGAGAAGGGGGAGGAGGGGGGAGGAGTAATGGATGGATGGATGGACGGAAAAAGGGAGGGAGGGAGGTGGATGAGGATAAGGAGAAGGAGGAGGAGGACGAGGAGGACGAGGAGGGACCACTGTAAACCCAAGACTCAGCAGCGATGTTGAATACACCCTCCCTCCGATCTCCCTCTTCATAGGCCCCTACAAGGGTTCGTTTCCATTGAAGGAATTACCCCATTGGGAGGCAATTGTTTGGAAATCGTGAAGCGTGTTAAAACGCCGCTCTCAGAACTTCAACGCCACGGGTCAACCTGACTGTTTCGGCTTGACGGTCTGATTCGCGCAAGGACGCAAGAACGCCGTTCCTACGTCAACACCGCGAATTAACGTAGCTTCTGCTTCTCCGTAGCCCTGAATCGCTACAGAGCGCCATATCAGGTACGTTAACCGTTAGTGCCAGTGACGCCCTGGCAAATGTGTGCAACAAATGTGCGCGGCTCTCCGGCGAGAGCCACATTTTGAAAAAGGAAACGTACCAGTGAAACCCTGGCAGACGTGTGCAACGAATGTGCACGGCGCTCTGACTAGAGCCACATTTTGAGAAGGAAACGCTTTCAATCAGTGAAACTTCTGCATCTGTTCAACGAATTCGTGCGACGCTAAGGCGAGAGTCACATTTTGAACACCAACCTCCATCATTCCGTGAATTTCTTTGCACATGTTTAGAGAGAGTGTGCGCGGCGCTAAGGCGAGAGCCACATGTTGAAAACCAACCGTCCTCAGTCCGTGAAACTCTTGCAGATTGTGAGAACGAGTATGCGCGACGCTAAGGCCAGAGCCACATGTTGAAGAGGAACCGCCCTCAATCCGTGAAGCTTCTGCGATTTGCTTAAGACGAATGTGCCCGGCGCCAAGGCGAGAGCCACATGTTGAAAACCACCCGTCATCATTCCGCAAATTTTTTGCACATCTGTAAGGCGAGTGTGCGCGGCTCTGGGGCAACATTCACATATTTGCACGATACGATCTCTATCTACAAAACCGTTGCCATGGTTTAAGCTTCGGTCTCATTATTGGTAAGGAGGTCTCAGGCGAGACGCCCGGCCCGCCCTTCCGACTGGCCTTGGGTTTAGTCAGGGAGGTGTTATTCATGAGAAATGAAAAGGAGGAGTGTATGTCAGTATCTTCACATGTCTTTGGGATGGGGATGCGAGCGAGCGAGACAGCGACACGCAGCAGGAGAAGGAGAAGGATGAAGGAGGAGGAGGAGGACAAGTGCAAACCCAAGATTCATCAACTATGTTGGAATAAACCCTCCCCCCTAGTTCCCTCTTCATAGGCTACTACAGTCAGGGTTTCAGCTCCATCGAGGGAAGTGCCGCGTTGGGAGACAACCGTTTGAAGATCCTGAAGCGTGCCTGAGTACCAGTCGGTGGACTCCAACGCCACGTGTCAACCTGACCACCGCGTCATGTCGATCCAGGAACGCGCCAGACCACCATCCCTGGGACGTCGACACCGCGAATCAACGTAACTGTTGCGCCCTGACAATGCTGAATCGCTCCGAAGTGCCATTTCAGGCACTCTGGTATGAAGACCAGTGACATTCTTGTAAATGCTTAAGACCTAATTATGTGCGCAGCGCTAAGGTCCAGGGCCCCATGTTGAAAAAAACCTCCTCAACCCGTGAAGTAGTTGCATGTTTTACCGGAGTGCGTGCGGCGCTAAGGATGCAAACGCCATATGTTCGAGTCGGTCCGCTCTCTATCGGTGAAGCCGCTGCCAATAAGCTTCAGCATCATAAGTGGTGAGCAGATCTCAGGCGGAACGCCTGGCCCGCCCTTCCGACTAGCCTCGGGCTGCGACAGGAATGAGTTTTTCACAGGGAAGGGGAATGGAGGAGGGAGGAGGAGGAGGAGGAGGAGGGAGGAGGAGGGGGAGGAGGGGGAGGGAAAGCAGGACGAATATGGAGGAGGAGGAAACGGAAAAGGAAAAGGAAAAGGAGGAGCAGGAGGAGGAGGCGGAGTAACTGAGGAGGAGGAGGAGCAGGAGGAGGAGGAGAAGGAAGAGGAGGAGGAGGAGGTCCAGGAGGAAGGGTACGGTGCAAGCGGCGCAACGATGGGGGGCGTCACGCCGAGGTCAATCGCCGTGGCCCGAGAGTACTCGAGGTGCGGTGGTCCCTCCCGCACTCCAAAAGATGTCGTCGTCGTCGGCGGCGGCGGCGGCGGAGGCGTCGTCGTCGTCTTTGACCTCCTCGCGTGCCTCGCCTATCCATCCCCTCCTTACGCCTCTATCCCCCTTCCTCTGCTCCGCCCTCCTTCGTTCCCCCTCGCTCCTGGAGGTGAAGGAGGAGGAGGAGGAGGAGGAGGTAGAGGGGGAAGAGGAGTAGGAGGAGGAGGAGGAGGAGGAGGAGGAGGAGGGGGAGGAGGAGGGGGGGGGAGTGATGCGGCCGTTTGCGGGAAACTCGTATCCCCCCCGCGCGAGGGTGCGACAGCATCAGCCCGCTGGCCGCGCCGCGGCCCTTCGGGCGCCAACAGGAATGATGGAACAACGGTCTCGGCATGGTACGCTCTCCCAGCGTGCGCAGCCGATTCGGGTGACGAATGCCGGTTTCTGAGCCCGGCAGGCATGCTTCGCCCGACGGGCCAGGCAACAGGCGGGCAAACGTTTTGTCAACGACAAAAGACCGGATCAAAGGCATGGTAGCTCCAAGTACAGCTAGGTCAGTGGGAGAATTGGGCTCATCAAGAATCACACCAGTGGCAGCAGATGCAGCACAGGGACTTGTTTTAGGGGCAACGCTAGTTGCCAGTTGTGGGGAATCCACTTGCCAGAATCATCACATGCGAGAAACGACGGCAGAACCAGAGCATGCGGGTAACGTCGGCGACGTGAGGGACAGAAGCCAAATGTCATCATTTTCGTGTGTGTGCCCGTCTGTGCGAGAGGAGTCGGCTGTGACAGCTTACGGTGGCGCTAGAGACAGCAACAATACGTCCTCGGCTACAGGCGCGGGCCCGCCCCTGCGAGAAGGGGCGGCGGTGCCAACGGACAAAGCCCACACGCCCAGTTCGCACGTCGACAACTACGACGGAAGTGGGACAAACCACGAGGCTGATGTCGTCAGCTACGCGGGAAGTCACAGGAAGCACGAGCCCGACGCCATCAGCTACGAGAGTGCCGCAACGAAACACGAGCTCGATGCCATCAGCTCATTGTAACGGTGGGGTTGCGAAACACGAACTCGACGTCGTCAGCTACAGCGTTGGGGCCGGCCCCCTCGCGCGAGAAGGCCAAGTAGTGATGCGAGACGGGCCCGCGGTGGTGCGCGAAGGGCTGGCAGTGGTGCGAGAAGGGCGGGCAGTGATGCCAGAGGGGACGGAAGTTGTGCGAGACTGGCCTGCAGCGGTGCGAGCCGGGCCGGCAGTGGCGCAATAACGGCCGGCAATGTTGCGAGACGGCTGGAAGTGGTGCGAGAAAGACCAACAGTGGTGCGAGAAGGGTTGGCGGGCGGGGCATTGCTGGCATAGGCTGGATACAAGACGCCATCAGCTACAGCGTGTCACGCGGAACGCCGTGTCCATGCCGTTTTCAGTGTCCTTGCTGGCTTGTGTGCCGCCCGCTGTGGATATGTCTTGTAGTGGGCTCCGGCAAGTGCCGCCGATCCGGGGCGCTCCAGATTCGCTTCAAAATGGACGACGATGAAGACGACGTTCCTCCTTTTCTTCACCTTTTTCTTCTCCTCCGTCCTCCCTCCTTGCAGAGGGAGGGGGGGAAGAGGCGGAGGATTGGATGTGACACTTCTGGGCAGCAAACGATTGACAATGCCAGCATGGGAAAGAGGAGGAGTAGGTGGAGGAGGAGGAGAAAGAGGAAGACGATAAAACAAGAGGATGAGGAGTAGAAGGAAGAGGAGTCAACCCGGAGCAGGAGGATGGGGAGGCGGAAGAGGATGAGGTTGAAGAGGTGGAAGGAGGAAGAGGAGGACAACAGAGGACAATTATGAGGATGAATATGATGATGATGCTGCTGCCGATGATGATGATGATTATAACGATGATGGCGATGGTAAGGATGATGGTTAGGAGGACAGGAAAAAGATGAGGATGACGACGAGGAGGAAGAGGAGGAGGAGGAGGAGGAAGAATCGAGTCGGAAGGGCACGCAGAGTAGGAGGCCGAGGAAGAGGAGGATGGGGAGGAGGAGGAGGAGGAGGTCGTGGACGACGTGGAGCAAGAGGACATCGTCGGCGTTATGTTGGCGGCCTAAGAAGACAGGAGGAGGAGGGGGGGGAGGACGAGGAGGAGGAGGAAAAGGAGCATGAGGAGGAACATGACGATGGGGAAAGGAGGAAAAGGAGGAGGAGGAGGAGGAGGAGGCGGTGTTATAATATGTGTAACATTCCCGGCCTGCCGGCGCAATGCAGATAGAAGCATATTGAAAATGAGAATGCGCAGAGCAGGGACTCTTGCATGACCATCGACATTCGGGCCCAAGCTTGAAAAATCGAGTTTGGTAGCGGAGCTGGTTGGTCCAGCCCCACCTGCTAAAACTCAGCAGGAGGCAGCGCGCGCGCTGATAGTGGGAAGGACGCTCCGCAGACCCGGTGGTTTCTCTTTTCAGGCAGATACGACACTGACAGTCTTTACAAATAGCAGGATAGGCGGCGAGTTCGCCTAGGATACGAATTTCCATCCGCCGATCGAGGCCCGCCACATCAACATGTCCGAGCACCCTGGTCATCCGCGAAATGCGTACACGAAGGGCACACCGCCAGAATGGAGACCGGCCCTCATGCACTATCCTTTCCAAGGATATTTGGAGCGTCTCAGATTGTGGTTGCGCATGACCGACTTGAATGCAGACCAGGTCCCAGGGACGACCCTACAATATGGCTTTCGGATTGCAGATCACGACCCAGGCTGGAGCCAACTTCCAGGGCGATGCAGCCATGTCATACCCTGGAGAACAGCAGCAATTGGATGCCCATGGCAGCTGTCTCGTTCCAGCTATTTAAAGTGGCATTCGGGTCATGATACGGGTTTTTTTTCCCGATGCTTTGGTGTTGACAACCAGCAGATGGCGACCGGCACCATTGATCAGTTTTATAATATCAGGCGTGGCAGGCGGAACACACATACAAGGAGGCGAGTCGCCTCGGCAATATCAATCTCAACAGTGTGGCCCTCGATCATCAGCTACTCAAGCACTCTGGTTGCGAGAAGTCCAAATTGGACCGCATTCTCCTGTTGGCCAATGGTGACCTCGACCGTCACGACGACATTAAGGATCACTTCGTGCGCTTGGCCACGAGCCAGACCCCAGCACTGATTCCCACCGTCGGCTTTTACATGGCAGACGGATTCGACCTCCGGGATGATGGTGGTTGGTACGGCGATGGTTGGTTGACGACGGCTGGTATGATGACTCTTGGTATGGCAATTCTTGGGGCAACAGTGCATGGTTCGGGGATACTTGGCGCGACGGCGGCTGGCAATATGACTCTTGATACGATAACGGCGGAACAGGTGGTGATCAACAGAGCACTGACAAGTCTCCCCAAGAAGGCAGCGCTCCAGCATCACGTCCAGCGGCGTCATCCTCGGCAGTAGCTAGCGTTGATCTCGAGACTCCCCCATTCGACGTCAACTTCGACAACGGGCCGCGGCAATGGCAAGTCCCGTGGCCGCAGCAAAGGCAAGTCATCCAGTGAGGGCAAGAAAGGCAAAAGTAGTGGCGGCGGTCGTTCCAACAGAACAGGTTGCGGTCGCCGCGGCGGCCCCAACCGCAGCGCGGATAACTACCCCTGGAACCACAGACAAAGCAAAGGCAAGTCATCCAGCAAGGGCAAGAAATGTCGCCCAGGCTCTCGAGGTGGAAAGAAACGGCGTAAGAACGGCAAGTGCTAGTATGCGGGCGAAGACCCGTGCAGCCGCAGCTCCGATCCGTGGACCGCTGGCCTTGCTGGTGGACTAATTCACGCAGGCGCGCTTGTCTCAGGAGCTGCTGGCGAGCCGCCCACGGCTTTGAGGTGACCACCTCCTCCGAGAATCTCATCGATGCCGAGCGCGTCTGCGCCGCCGAGGTAGACGATCTCCTGGGGGGCCTGACCCCGGTCGCCATCGAGACGGGCGGCATTCTTGTCTTCCTCGGCGCCGGGGCGGCCGGCGCCACTGCCGACGGCTGAAGCTCAATTGCCGTCTCCCCAGACACCTCAGCTGCTGGACGTCGACCTCGTCGCGCGCGGCCTGGGGCCTGAGGCAGATGCCCCAGCGCCCGGGGTCGGCGGATCCGGCAGACCTTCCCCGTCGATCATGGCCAAGAAGGTGGGCGAGGAACTGCGCCTCGCGATCGACGCGTTCAGCTATCCTCCGAGAACCCCGGTTCACAGCGCTTCGTCGAGTCAGGCAGTTCAAGGATCCCCTCTGCCACCTCTGAGCTTCATCGAGTCTGATTATTATCCTTGGGACTCGGCGCGGCCCGAGAGGCAGCGTCAGTCCTCGCGGCCTGGGCCCTGTCGACTCAATCGCCGGCGCCTCGACCTAGCCGACCTCGGTGAGATGGAGAGGAACCCGCGGATCAGCGGCGAGAGCGGCGCCGAGCTCTCGGACGCCGCGGTCGGCGCTCCTCGCGAGCGACCAGCCCCGACGACGGGGCAGATGGCGAGCGCGTCGACGATTCGATTGAGGGCGGAGAATATTTCCGCTTACATCATAATACATCTTTCTCAACGTGTCCACGCGCAGCCCCCGGCTCTTGCAGTCGGGGGGCCAGCCTCAGCATCGGCGCCGTTAGGGGCCACGAGGTCTGGGGTGCGATCTTCGACCCGGGCGCAGCTGGGGAACTTGCCAGCGCGCGGGCGCTGTTGGAGCGCGCGCAAGAAGTGCGTTGGCCGAAGTGATTTGACTACGCAGCGATACCACCGTCAGGTCACGCATCTTTTTCAGGCGTCGACGGGGTCACCATGAAGAGTCAGATGTCCGCGCGGGCACCCAGTGACCTAGTTCCTGTCATCGCCAGCATCGAGGCAGCGACGGTCGGCGGCAACGGCGACCGCTGCTCATTCCTTTTCTCGGACGCGACCGCAGTCAGGCGAAAGGTCATTGCAATGCTCGGCGACTTCGACAACCTCGACGGGCCCCTCATCATTCTAGACCTGGATGGGAAG